TTTTCTAAAGTAAATAAATAGATCAAACCATCAGTTTGCTTTCATATGAAGCTTCTCTTAAATCATTCTGCTATCCAAATGTTTACAAACCTTTGCATTGGGATTCAGGGTGTCTAATTTAATATTTATTTTAATAATAATTGCATAAGCACAACACCATTAAGGCATGCAAGTGTAGTGGAAGTAATATTCTAGACATTCTTAACATTGGCATCTTTCAGAGTTTGGTTACCATCTTCACACACCAGCGATATTTCCCTTTGGCGAGAACCTCTTGTACCCATTGTATAGGAGGCTGAGTGGGCTTCCATGGCTGTTGTACACCATGAGGTGAAGGAAAAATCTTCACCTCTGTGGGCATTAAATATGGGACACTCAGCTCATAGCTAATCACTTTTTTAAACCACAGTTATGCCAGTTTGCTAATGCACGTAAAATAACAACAGTCTTACCTCTTGATATGCTTCTTATCTGCTGAATTGTCCAGTGCCAGTCGCTGATTAGCTCTCTCCAGCTCCTGAATGCTAACTTCCAACTGCTCATAAATTCGGAGCCTAGAGTCATTCACTTCCCGTAGCGCTGTCGTCTGCTTCGTGAGATACTGAACATCAAAGTGAGATTTATTGTTATTACCTTGATTTATTTAGGACTTACTAATATAGCTGTTACACTTTGCATCATGATGGAAAAGAAAGAAAAAACATGTAGTCTCAGTATGCACCCGTTCAACATGAACTAGAAGTTTCGAAGAGGAAAATATTTACAGTAAGCCAGCCACCAGTAATTAGCAAAAATATATATTTAGAGCTACGAAATGACAAAGCGCAAAAACTGAAAGCTCTTTTACTGTAAGTATAAGGCTATATAGGCTGTATATGCATCTGTAGAGACCTAAAGAAATAGAAAACCAACAACAGTATAAAAAGAACGTAACTCAAAGGACGTACACTGGTTTGAATCGAATTTTTATTTTTTTTTCATAGCTCAAAACTTAAAAAAAAAATTGTTGAGTGCTGAAAGTAAAATGAAATATAAGAAGTGGGTACATGCACGCTTATGCGTTATGTAAATTAGAGGCGTTCAAAATGTTTCCCTTCCGCAAGTATGGGGCCATAAAGATTTAGAAAAAAATAATTTTGTTGTTCGAAGATGAAAGAAATGCGAAAAACAGATCAAAAGAACACAGACAGAAAGGGAGACAACTTCTGGAAAACTGACGTCTTGTGGCCGAACTGACATCCTGATGCCATAAAGACAGAAAACTTGTGACAGAGAGAGGGGGAAGAAGTCGTTTATGATATTTCAAAGGCACAAATGTAGCAAAATTAGTGATCTTTGAGCCATGCGGGCTGGTTAGAGAAAGGCCTAGCAGAAATTTTTAGTTCTAAGTGGACTCAACCTATGAGATTTTTTCCTCAGTATACCCAGTAATTTACATTCAATTTCAACAATAACTTTTATTGAATAAAGACTTAACGAGACACATGTACTCGTAGAAATATTTCCCACCAAATAAACACACTTTCATAATTATTGGATAATTAGGATCCAAACTGTTCATTCATAACTCGAGGAAACCCTAGCAGATACGAAGAAAGACATTCACGAAGAGCTTGGCCATATGTTCCAGGTCGAGGCATAGACAACGAAGGCCCAAAGTAAGATCGCCCGAAGCGAGTTCCAGATGCAGTTGCAAGAAGTGGAGGAGCGGGCCGAGCGCAGAAGAAGAAAATGAATCGTCGCAGGTGCGGCGAAGCTACCTAAGTTTGAAGGGGCTAAATCATGGGCAGTGTTCCTGCGCCAGTTTGAGACCTAGCACAGCACAACAGCTGAACGTATCTGCAGAAATCAACATACTTGACCACCGTCTTGCAGGGCTGGGCCACCGACGTGCTACATGAAGTCCCGAAAGGCGCGACCTATGACGAAACCCTCGAGGACCTGTAGGACCGCTTCGAGGAAAAAGCCCTTGCCGTCATGTATCGCTGTCAGCTAAAACCAAGGAAACGGGGCGTCAGATAACCCTTCCAAGAATTTGCCACAGTCATCGAACAGCTGGACCACCGCGCCTACCCTGCGCTACCCGAGGACCATATAAGGAGGAAGCAGGCAAGGCGTTCTCCGACGGGATAGAGGACCATGCCATAAAATTCCAGCTGCTACTAGGAAGAGAGAAAACCGTGAACGAGACTATAAGGTAGACCATAGAACTGGAGGCCGTGCTCCAAGCAGCCAGGCCCCCCAAAAACGAGCGCAAGACATTCTGGGGAAGGGGGTCCAACTGCAAACCCCCCTACGGCTAGAAGACCAAAGACGGTCGGTGTGCTGTAGCTGTGGGGAGACAGACAACTTCCGAGGTAACTGCCCTTAAAGATTAAAGAAGGAAGGCAGAAAATGAAGACCGAAGTTCGAAACGAGGCAACAGACCTCCGATAGACTCACTGGAACCTGCAAGAAGGTCCGCATGGCCACCTACAATTAACAGAGGGGTGGACAGGAGAGATGTCCAACCATCGGAGAACAAAAATATGTAAACACATACGTACTTCAATTTCCTGAGTTTGATCCTCAATGATATTCTGGTGCTGCTTCAGACTGTTCTCCAACTCTTTGTTTCTCTCCAGAAGTGTCTTCCCCAGCTCTGCTGCCAACTGGAGATCTGCAAGCACAAACAACCCTTACAAATGTTCGTCTCCCAAGAATCTCTTTCATAAAATGTTCTAACTCCACATAACAGAATTCCCCTTAAGGAGCTGATACTAATCAGATGGCTGAGAAATTCCTTCTTGTTAAGAATAATAAATGTTCACAACCATCACACAAGAGACAAATGTTGGTATCTATTTTGAAACAGTTCCATCCAGTTTAAAATTCCATAACGGTCTTGCAGCACCAACCATACTCTTAATAATATTATCTCCTCTCTGCTTTGGTCCCTGATGTGACCTTTCCCAATTCTATATATGAGGGGCAGTCAAATGAAAACGTATCAGAAGCCAAAATATATTAAACAACATTTCTTACCTCAAAAGTAATCTCCAAAATTGTTAATACATTTATCCCACTGGGAGATAAGACGTTTAATCCCATCCTTGAAAAAGCTTGTGGGCTCTCTACGGAACCACATCTTTACCCAGTCACACAAGTCTTCGTCCGATGGAAACCGATGTCCACGAATGTCTCTCTTCATGTCTCCAAAATTGTGAAAATCACATAAGGACAGATCTGGGCTGTAGGGCGATGTTCAAGCACTTTCCAACCAAATCTCTGCAGCGCATTCCTCACAGTTGGCAGTGTGGGGCGTGCGCATTATCATGAAGAAGGATACTGCCGTTCGGTAGCATTCCAGGGCGTTTTGACTTTATGGCACGTCTCAGTTTCTGCAAAGTGTCTTCATAGCGCTGTGCACTGATTGTGGCCCCATGCTATAGAAATTCGACAAGCAGAGGACCCTTGCATTCGAAGAAAAACGTCATAACCACTTTACCGGAAATTGTGTGTGCGGCTTTGGATATCTTCGGTGGGGGAGAATTCACGTGTTTCCACTGTTGACTCTGCCGTTTGCTCTCGGGTTCAAAATGGTGGCACCAAGTTTCGTTACCAGTGGCAATACGGGACAGAAAAGCATACTCTTCCTTATGGTATCGTTGCTAGTGACCCAGTGATCCAGCCATTCTCTGAGTCTTCGCTTCCTCCACGAGTTGATGTGGAAGCCACTGCGCGCAGATTTTGCGGTACAGCAGGAGTTTTGTCACAATGGCATGTACGGAACCGTGATTTATTCCCATCAAAAGACTAATTTCTTCCACAGTGATCCGTCGGTTTGCCCGGATATGACCATCCAACGCAGCAATAATATCAGGGGTGATCAGAAGGATGAGCCTGTCCTGGGCGAACAGCATCTTGCAGTGACACACGTCCCTCTCGGAATCTCTTATGCCACGCCAGCACACGCGAACGTGACATGCTCTGTTCGCCGTAAACAGACATGCGACGACGAATTTCTCGTCCTCCTACTCCTTCAGCAGTCAAAATGCGCACTACGCTTCGGTGTTCTTCTTTACACGCCTCTATTACTGATATTGGACGACGACACGTAGCGCTAGCCTTACTTCCAGCACAATAAACAAACGACTAGTGTGCAAGGGCACGTTGTCACTGTGCTTTCCCGAGTCCCCACCAGATGTTCGTACCGTAAGCAAATTCTAATGTTACCAACTTGCGCGCCTTGTGAGTTATGCGTGGTGACCCGTTTTCATTTGACTGCCACTTATATATTCATTTGTACCCAACGTTACATGTCTCCCCTATCCCACCTGTCTTGATTATGTCACCGTAACAATATTCTCTAATGTTGCCCTGAGAGAAAGCCCATGACATGAAAATGGTGTGGACGTGATGTTCATCTAGTCATAATCTCAGAAGCTGATGGAGATGAGAGGTTAGGTTTACAGTCCAACAGTTTAATTTCCTCGAAACCATCCTCCAGTAATCACTAGATATGTGCGTGGGTGGAACTCAAGAGCCAAGCAGGAGGTGATGACAAGGGAGACTATATCCCTGCCATAAAGTGAAATCCCATTCTCTAAGGTGTAGAGAAGAGCGTATTGACTGGAAAATACCACCTCATAGCCATATTTTGTAAAGAATAAATGTTATGATACTCCTCATTTTGTAGTTCCTTGTAGTCTCTCTGTTTATTTCATGTGAAACAACTAGCCCGAGATATTACATCTTTTTACAGTCAAGGATAGTTAGCCCCATGTGCAACTTCCAAGATGGAAGACAATATATTTACATTTAACACAAATATCCAAAGAAGCCGGTGGACGGCATAGGAGCTGAAGTTCGCACAGAAGTAGATGTGAAAATTTATATCTTCTGGATTGAATTTCAATGGACTGCATAGCGTCACATTCCAGAAAGTAGAATTATTCACAATGTCAGAACTCACCATGCCATGGCGAGGAATGATATAACGCGGAAAAGTTTAATATTTTTCCTTTATAACGTCCAAGTAGTAGAAGGTGGCCCAACATCCTTCTTCGGACAGTGCAGTACCGCCTTACAACTGTGTTGTGTTGGTCGCATTTTTATTCAAGATGATTTTTTTATTGCTTCAATAATTTATACATTTTTTAGCTTTGGGTTGTTACTGTTTTGGGTCAATATTTACGTTAATTATCGAAAGATGATAATTTTCCACAGTTTGAATGAACGATGCTTATTCGTTTCTTCAGTTCTTATCAGATTGGAACTGGTGATAAAATTAAGCCACTTGCTGCAAAACCAATCCCGTTTTCTATTCCAAAGATTATGATCATTATACCTAGTAGTGTCAGGATGATGAACTCTTTATCAGGCTACAACGTCCTTGGACTGAAGCTCTGATATAAAAGACAAGAAATGCATAGGGAATTCTCGAGCAAAAAAAAAAAAAAAGAACTCCGTGGTTTCAGTCCGCAAGCGAACTTTACCGGCCGAGCAACCGCCGTTTGTCGGTTAAGTTAGTGCAAACTTTAGCGGATAGAGGGTGTAGCATGGTCAGCGCAACGAATCCCTCACGGCCGTTAATATCGGTTTTCTAGACCGAAGTCGCTATTTCCTTGAAATAGCTCCTCAAATATCCTCACGAGGCTGAGTAGCGTAATTAAATGTACTTATGAAAGAGAACATTTAATGAAACATTCCTCGTTGCCGAAAAGTCTGCATCAGTAAATATGCAAATGTTTCAATATTTTCGTCCTTCAATTGCTCCTGCGAATGGTCTTCAGCGTGAAAATTGCCATCTTAATGATTCTATCTCCAATTTTCATTATTTTTCAGGTGATACACACATTTAGTGCCTTCGGGCATAACGGCTGTACACCCACGCGAGGAACGCTGTTCCCTCTTTCTCTCTCCTATGTTCAACTCTTCATGCTTCAAATATGTGTAATGTATGTAAGATTTGAGGCTTTCACGGCGGTGACTATGAAGAAAGCAGTCTTCTGGGATTTGGCACCGTGTATATGTGGTGTTAACCGACGTTTCGGAGGAACGTATCGCCTCCATCTTCAGGGTAGAAGAAAAATATAAGAAATCTGCAAGCGAAGGGACCGTGAGAACCGGTTGCTGAAGATGAAGGCGAAACGTTCCTCCGAAACATCGGTTAACACCACATATACAAGGTGNCATAAGAATCATGCAACCCCCATAAATGTACTTATTGGCAAGATGCAAAGATTTTATTCACAGAGATACTGGGGTTTCGGACTTTGTCCATCGTCCGGATTCTAAATAACTACGAAAAAAACACAAGGTTTCGAAACTGGATCTGTTTCCGTTTTCAGGTGAGGGAAGACACCTACTCTGTTTGGTCCCTTAGAAGGAGCTAGCTTCTAGAGATTTTATTGTTGAAATAAGTGGTACACACAGCAATCACCATTCTTTAAATGGTTAAGTATGGATAAAAGTTGTCCCTGTATTTAACTAATTAAGCACTACGCCATGAAGGCGTATGGAGGAGTGTATGTAGAGATCCAAATTTTCTTGACTTCGGCACTAGTTGGAGAGGTGAGTGGTCAGCTTCACACCCATACCGATTAACCCCCAGGGAAAGAGCCCTCGGTACCCTTTTGACAGGAGGCTGGGTGGGCCCCAGAGCCGGTCTGGACTTACAGAATAGAAAATTCTTGACTCTGCCGGGAACCTAACTCCAACTCCTAGATCGTCCAACCCGTAAATATCCGCTTATACCGTGAAGTATGGGTTTTTATGTCATATTGCAGTATCACGTGTTTCCTTAACGGAAGAACCAGTTTGTTAAGTTAGATTTTTGGATGGATTCGGTTAAAATAAGTTGTTTGGGATATTGTATCCTTAAACTGGGTTTTAATCGTTAGTTGCCACGTGTCGAATACGCATGCTATATTACTGTCACAGTGCTCGAAAACATAACGCGCAGTTGCCGAAGGAGTCTGTTCGACGCAGGTGCCTCTCTAGACGTCGGCGTCTGTTTTTAATTATGTATGCTTTTAGCTTCAGCATTCTATTGTGAAGACTATTCAGCAAAGAATGGCGAAGATGATCTGATACTCTCTCTCTCTCTCTCTTTTCCGAGCCCCCCCCCCCTTCACAGCTTGACTGAGCAAGAAGAATTTAGGAAATGACCCAGATGTAAGAGGCCAAGGCTAGAACTGATTTGCATGATTCAGAACACAGTAAGAAGATGTATGAATGTTTCAATTTAGAACAAATCTCCATATAAAAGATCTACAGATTGTAATTAAAATGTTTTTTGATTTCGTTATTCTAATGACATGAATTGGAAAATATTGCCGGCCAATATGCGCTGTGATATATATAGTGCGATTAGCTTTGAAATAATAGGTATCTGCCTGAAACGAATAAATACCAATGACTCATTTACATGCAGTTAATTCCTTGTCTCAATATAAACTCTAAAACTTCTCAAGCAGAGAAAAAGAAATCTCTTAACTGGGCTGCAAACCGAGAAAAACATCTGAATTTATTTTACATGGGCTTATAATGGTCAGATCACCTCCTGTCGTAATAAGCATCTAGAGAACATTCACGACAGAGGACAGTAGAGGTTGAACCAGTCCCTAGCACCAAGGAGAGACCGCCAAGATGATGGTTGAGGGCTTTTTTTTTATT